ATCTACACTACCTGAGGATGTTTCCACATGAGTTTCATCTTTCCTGGCCCTGTGGTTCTTGAGAAGAAGATTTCTAAAAGATGATATTAATTTTTCACCTATTCTCTATTATCTCCCCTTGAAAGAGGGTGTGACCCTTCATTTGAACAAACTTGAATCCCCTTCACCCATGGATTCTTTGTGGCAAGTTTGGTTGAAATTGGCCCAGTGGTTCTGGAGAAGAAGATGAAATTGTGAAAAGTATACAACGACGCCAACAACGCCGACGACAACAACAACAGACAACGGACAAATTTCGATCAGAAAAGCTCACTTGAGCCTTCGACTCAGGTGAGCTAAAAGCAGTTGTTTTTCCTTTGATCATGACGGAGAGACAGAGGAAAATAAAGAAACACACTGATTACTGTAAAAGCTGGAATATTTGTTGGGGATTTAATTTTGTTTATTTCGTTGTTAAACAATTATCAACGATAAATCCCAAAAGAAATTTTTATGACTATATACTGAATAGAGTTACTTCTGAAACAACGAAAATTAATGACCATAACAACTTTTTTGATGGCAAATCAAGGAAACTTTATCCCCAGGAAAATTTGTGCTTCTACAGTACTATGGGCATCCACATTTTGATGTGGGGTTCTAAGTAAGAGTCGACTTACTGCCTAATCCAGTTGTATTTTCTATTGCATTGCTTGTTGTTAAGACATGTACTTGCTGGTCTTTTGCTGTGAAATCCCTATAAAAAAAATATAGAAATTTTAAAAGAGAAGAGACAACAGATAGAAACTTGAATTGAAACACAAGCTAAAGTGCCTGCCTGAAAGAAAACTCAAACATTCAACCTCTTGTGAGTATCTGAATTACTTACAAATTAATGGATGATATACCCGATTTTACTGTATATAAGATAACACCTATATGTACTACATGTATTGACTACCATTTCCTAACCTCCTTTTTTAAAAATTTTTATTAGGGATGGTAAGAAAATACAGAATTGTCAACCCAAGATGTTCTGTCCAATTAATGAGTTAATCATATCAAAATACACATTCTCTTCACATTTTTTTTTTCAAGTAAGCTCTAGTTATATAAACAAGAAAACTATAAAACAAAAAAAACAACAAAAAAAAACTACATGTGTCGTTATCAACACGAATGCCCCTGCAAGCAGCCAAAATTTCAAATGCAATATTTGGTTTTAAATTTGTATTCGAACTTGACCCATATTTTCTCGTAAAATACCTGCATATGCAATTTCAACTTTAATATACATCCCTACAAAAGTTAGAGAGCAAAAACTGAAAATTCTTATTTTTTCTACGTTCAAGAGGGATAACCCTGTCAAAAATCATTGGACCATGACCAAATTCAAACTTGACTTGTATTTTCTGGTAAAATACCTGAACATGCAATTTCAACCTTATACATACATCCCTACAAAAGTTAAAGAGCGGAAACTGAAAATTTCTTATTTTTTTCTAAGTTTAAGAGGGATAACTCTGTTAGAAACCATCAGACCATAAGCAAATTTGTACTTGACCTGTATTTTCTAATAAAATACCTGCATATGCAATTTCAACTTTTTTGTCCCTCAAAGTGGAAAATAAACTTGCTATTGTCCAAATAGTCAATAAATAAGTGTTTTATTATACCAAGGCAGACTTTACTTTTGTCACATCACGATCTGGATAAAACCAGAAAAGTTCCGAGATGAAATGCATGGAAATCGAATACTGCCAAAGAATAGTTTGTTGACTATGGGCAAATAGCACAAAAACCATTTAACGGTATAGCCTATTTAGAAAAAATAGCAAGATTATCTGTTATATTTTCATATATAGAAAAAATACTCAGAGGTACAATATTATATAAAATACCGGTGGGTGTTATAATTTTGTGCACCTTTGAGCCCATAAGATACATGTATGTAAATTTCAAAGGCAATAATGATGCTAAAGAAATTTTATCTTACCTCTGAAAATAGTCAGATCAAGTTGCCTCACAAGAGCACACATACATGTGATATGTACAGTTTTTCGAGCCCATTCATCGTGTACCGGCGGGACACCAAAATTCACGGAATATGAAAATTTGTACAGTATTTTGAATTTCTCGCTAAATGCTGCCATTTTCCTCTCATTCTCGCTCGCGAGACGCTGGAAAACGTCACCTGTGTTTGACACTTGACCTTCTGATAATTGTGTATTGTACACAAACCATCGCGTGCAAAGGTGTGAACTGCCAATTGGGATAATTATCTTGCTATAAATCTGTATCAAGTACCCCTTTAGGTAGCTTTATTTTTTAAGGGGTACTTAATTACTGTTAACGTTTCGTATACGTAACTTGATTGAAAAAAATTAAGCCAACTTCTAAAGTTGATATACATGACTTAATATACGTGAATCTGACCCAGATCTTCATAGGTATAAAATATACGATGTTTATTACAATGATTACGCTGGAATTTTAAAAGAATTTAAGCGATATTTCATACCATTTTTTGTACCGTTTTTTGATAGGCAGTGTACAGTTTTTTCACCCAAATTCCAGTTTTTTTATGGCTCCTGTACAGTTTTGTGGTTTTTGACTTATCACATGTATGAGCACAGTCTATTTTTTTTGTTTAATCACAGCATTGTAATGTAAAATTTTGATGGCGTGCAGCTTTCATTCTCTTTGTTATTCAATCCCATATTTTATAAATCACTTACAAACTTTCAGGATGAATTGAACTTTAAACAATATAATATGGAGTACGTAGGGTTGGGTACATTGTCATTTGCAGCTAGGCCCTAGATCAATACTGCCAAAGTAAATGGTAACCATAAAATTGAACTTAGTACTCAATGGCCTACTGTAACCTATTTAGCTTGCCCGATCAAAATTGGGAAAAACCCCTGTAATACAGTTATAAGAGTACAAAGCATATACACTGACCCTGATTTTTAAGACATGTTTAAGAATTGAACACAGAGTTTGTTTGGACCTGACTGTATTCAATGCATATTACTTACCCAAGGCGTACATCTACCAAATTACATCCTGCCGAATCACTATAGTTAATGACAAATCTTTCAGATGGCCTGAAATTCAAATATGTGAAGATTTTCTTCAAATCATATACATCATCGGCACCTGTTCAGTTTACAAATTATATAAGGTGTTTGATATTCGAAAAAAAAATTAAAATCCTTACATTTTGCGAACAGTTGTTCTTTCGGGGACTATAGCAAGGCATTTACTTGTTCCTTTCCCACCACTGCCAAGCACAACAACTCGGAATGGATGGGCAATTTCAGTAGCATGAACTTTTGTAGAGGCAAGTCGGACTGGCATAATCACTGCCATATTCCACACTTGCATGAATGATCTTCGAAGTTTGGAAGATAGAAACATAATAACTGCAATTCTATATATTAATGTTTACATGTTAACGTTTTATAAAAACTTAATACAAGTATTAAACTGACAAAACGGTTAATCAGTCGGTCATACTGGAAGCATGGACCTCAGAATCTCGATCCCGATTTGTTTATTTTTACTGGTCACGGTATATGTGCGAGTTTTTGGGGGAGGTTGCTTTTTTTCTTCTTAAACAAGTCGCGCCTTACTAAAGAATTGTCGAAAGATTTTTCATTATAAATCAATTTTACAATGCTTATTTTGATTTAATGTATTTATTTTAAAAAGTAGATTTTACATTTGCAATGTTTGTGTTTGAGTTTTAAATTGAAAAAAGAAGGAATTCCATACACAACAATCTTAGCGAGATTCATCGAAACTAAAAATTTGTACTGATATCTCATCCAGAAGACTTGTCAGTACAAAATTTATAGTCTCGAATCTCGCTGAGATTGCATACACAACAGCCAACTGTTTTAATTCTGCCAACTATTACTGCTTGCCTTATAGTTATACGACAGACAACTTTATCTACTTTAAGATCTTTGAAAATGCAATCAACATTCAGATATCGAATTATTTTGAGAAAATTTTTAACCCTTTTTTAGCAGCATTTAGATCAAGATTTGAAGAGAGCTTTAGATAAAAATAATTATTTTGCTGCTATCTTAATGGACTTATCCAAAGCGTTTGATTTCCTCCCTCATGATCCCATTCTGCTCAAACTAAAATCTTATGGTCTCTCTCCACCTGCGGTTGATCTGATGAAGAACTATTTATCTTGCAGAAAGCACTTTGTCAAAATTAGTCAAAATATATATAAGCACATTACTGGATATCTTTAAAGGTGAACCTCAAGGATCAATTTCATCTGCTTTACTGATACTGCCTCTTTTATTTAGTTTTCTTTAAAAAAAAAAATTATATCTATATATTAAACTTGGTTAATTTCTTAAAATTTCCAATACTAAGGATCCTGGTGACTGAAACTTCTGGAGTAACATCCTATGATGGCAGAAGTGTAAGCTCTCCAGGATCCTAGTTTCTTTTCTTTCCTTTTTTTTTACCTCACAATACAGATCTTGCCAATGTTGGTAGGGACTGACCCAGTCATTAGGCAGGATGTGTGTTGGTGAGGAACTTAAATTATTTTTGTTTTGAATTTTGGCTATATGCTCTAACTGCTTTAATCTTTAAGTTTCTAAGCTAGCTATATTTTCTATTGTTAGTAATTTTTAAATCTGATTTTTTGTGTTTAATGTAGTGCTTATTCTAATTTGCTATTATGAGTATTATTTTTTAATTTATTTATTTTTGTTTTTTTTTTAATGCAAACATTATGCATTACAATTTCCGTGTCTTTTCTAATAATCACTAGGCTTCTTTGTTTTATCTACCATGTGTGTGTAATATAATTACATTTATTATATACCCAAGTGTGTATCACTCAATTTTACTGTAGATTTCGTACAATCACGTGACGGTGTGATCCGACTTTCCGGATCATCACACTGTGGTTTTCTGAATCCATATCACCCCTCTCTGAAACTGATGACGTAGTACACAGAAACATGACGTTATTTTTCATGCGCATCGTTCCTTGAAAAATGCTTTGTTTAATGGAAAAATCTTATATAATTTATCTCAAAAGTTTTTTTAAAACTATATTTTGCTAGTTGTAAGGGAGGGTATATAATAAATTTATCATTATAACAGTAACTTGATCCGAAGAGCCGTATCACGTCTCGTTGACGGGCGTGGATCATCAGATCAAACTCGACGCTTCGCGTCTCGTTTGATCTGATGATCCGCGCCTGTCAACTCGACGTGATACGACTCTTCGGATCAAGTTACTGTTATAATAATGTATATTTATCCCATGTTTACCCCTTTATCCCGTGGATATGACTCATTGGCTAAATTTTTCATAACCCACAGTTGTGACGTCACAATGGTTTTTGCGTTAGCGTGATGAAGTAAAATAAAGTGGAGTCCTATATAAAACAGTGTAAAACATTGGTTGTGAAGTATTAAACATGGATAAAAAGAATCTCCCATGATTTGTAGTTGGATATGACTTTTATCCAACTCGTTGTGTGTTTTTTATCCCCTCGCCAAGGCTCGGGGATAAATAACACACAACTCGTTGGATAAAAATCATATCCAACTACAAATCATAGGAGATCCTATATTTATCCCATATTTACCCCTTTATCCCGTGGATATGACTCATTGGATATTTTTTTCATAACCCACAGTTAAGTGCAGTTGTGACGTCACAATGGTTTTTGCGTTAGAGTGATGAAGTAAAATAAAGTGGAGTCCTACATAAAACAATGTAAAACATTGGCTGTGAAGTATTAAACATGGGATAAAAAGAATCTCCCATGATTTGTAGTTGGATATGACTTTTATCCAACTCGTTGTGTTTTTTTATCCCCTCGCCAAGGCTCGGGGATAAAAAAAAACACACAACTCGTTGGATAAAAATCATATCCAACTACAAATCATAGGAGATCCTATATGTATGTACACGTGTTTTTGCATGCTTAATTATGTTGTATATTATTATTTCTGTGATATTTTTAGCTTTTATAGTCGGTTTAAGAGCATTACAGAGCTCACGTTAATTGTTATACTATGTACTAAATGCCCGACTTTAAATTAAAAAAAAAACTTACTAATTGCTTAAAGCCAACTGCTCACTGCTTACTACCTCTGCTTATATAGATAATGTATCACCCATATATACTGCCACTGCCAGCTGCTTACTTCTAACTGCCACTGCTTATAGGTGATGTTGCCTATTTTGTTATCTTTAATATATTTACATTATTTTATCCCATTATACATGTATTTATAATTCAATAGCTTTTTTGACGGGGGAGGGATGATAGGCTTATAATTATTTACGTCAGAAAAAAGTGGGAAGACCATTCTTACGGGGGAAAGGAGGAAGGGGGTCATAAAAGAACAAACTTTTTATAGAAGGATCTTGGATAACACTTGTTCGTATAATATGTATGCTAGAAATACTACTGAAAAAATCATCATAACGTTTGCCTATGGTAAAATATCTAGTAATATCTTTAAGTTTTTCTTTTTACTTTTTATTTATGTGTCTCATTTAATTCAATGGAATTCCATAATACACGTTGTTCTTGTTTCAGGTTGTATTCAAGTGTCGTGAGGAAAGGAAGACAAATCAAGACTTTCAGTTTCTGTAGATGCCATTTCTACCACACCACATCTATACGTCGAATACATTGATTAAATGAATTAATGAAAAAATAAATTATAATATGCAAATAAATAAATGAAAATCAAAAGAAATTAAAATATTCTTTAAAATAGTATTAAAACAAATCATTGGGGAATCATATTAATTTTAATCGTAAAAGATGCGGCTAATGTAATATCAAAGATCAAAGTTATTAAAAATATATCCATCCAAATAGTAAATAAATAGTCCTAATTTAGATGGCGAAATAAAAGGATTGGCATAAAGAAATTATTGGGGGGGGGGGGGGTCGGTGATTTACATTAATCTTTAATAATTTTTGGGGGGATAATTCTTAAATTCGTGTGAATTCTTCGTACATGAATACAAATATCACTGGCTTTATAAGCTGTCATTTAATGTGTTATTTAAAAAGAAAAGCATGATGAAGCAGAAATGGATGTAAATACTCTGATATATTTATTTGATTTATATTTATTTATTTATTCGTTCGTTCATTCATTCATTTACATGTATTTATTTATTTTGTTTTATTCTATTTGATTTATGAGAAAAAAATTGTGTTAGAGAAAACAATTTTGAATTTTGAAAAAAAAAAAGCACTGAAACAAAAAAATTGAAAAAAAAATCTTAATTATTATACATAGAATTATATTTTGCGTATCAAGAAGTTTTAGACTTTGACACTACTAATTGAATTGTTACTGAAAATAATTGTACGTGTATTATGACAATTTTATAAAATTCTATATAAGGAGAAGAATATCTAAGTTGTAGAACTTGTGTCTCATCCTTTTGACTTTGTCAATAAAATATGTTCAATTCAATTCATTGAAGAAAAAAAAGCATTTTAAAAGAATAAGAATAAAAGTTTTGGTATAGGCCGGAAAACGTGGGTAAATGGAATTTACATATTGTACTTTATTCGCAAGTTAAAATTACAACACTGGAAAACAATACAGGGAAATATAGTATTTGCATACTTATCTCACTAAACTTATATGAAATTTGAAAAAAAAAATGAAAATGTTATTTTTTTTTTATCAGTATTTCAAAATTGTAACATTAACTCCATGTGAATTGAACAAGGTACGTAAGTGAATTACATGGATAGGTATGTACGTATATTTGTATATACGTATGCCTAACGAGTAACGATTGTCGAATTTTCTCCCAAAAAGTAAGATCTTTATGCCAACTAAGTAATATCAATATTATGATAAAGAGGAATCGAATGATAATGTATATATATGATATATATTTCAAGACCGACTTAAGGGATAAAAAAAACTTTCCAGAAAAAAAAAAATGAAATACGATATGAGCATAATCACGTAATCTATTAATATATTTATTTGAAACAATCAGGATAAAAAAATCGACGGCCTACATTATTGGGACACGGAATGTCATGTCATGTTTCGTTTCATTACATCCCATCAGACATGAATGCTTTTGTATGCTAAAATTCTCAATAAAATCAATTGCAATCTATAAAGCACAGGCGCTTGACGTTTTTAACCTTTCTTTCCATAAAATAAAAAATTCCCCATATTATTATAGTATGGGAGATTTTTTATTTATGGAAAGAAAGGTCAAAAACATCAAGCGCCTGTGCTATAAAGGTTGTTTTCAACTTTTCTATATTTGCATCATCAGTGATACACAGATAACAAGGGAACATTTTCTCTATTTGATTGTCCAGTGTTTTAAATGTGCATGGTTTTTTTCTTTCTGAAAATAAGCCTGATGCGCACCCATAGTCGCTTTACTCCAAAAAACCATTTGCAGATATAAGTTGTATATTATATTTATTATTATAATATATTATATTATTAAAAATCATTTTGTCAGTAAAAAATTAGAATTATTTCTCCTACGATTCACAATCTATAAAAAAAGGGGGGAACAAATTTTATAAATGTCTAAGCCTCTAAGGCGAGATATTCATTAAGTACTATATCCATAACAAAGATAGTTATTTTACATATAAATCTCCATTATAGAGAATGCTTCAATTGCAAAGAAAATAAAAGGTAGACATTTAGGTGACCCTAATAACCGTTCAGATGCCCAAAGAACCCCGTTACCCGTACATCAGTTAAACTTTCTTTTACAGCTCTTTAAGGAATGTCGAAATGAGAAAATAAAGTATTACATATTGTGGTAGGATCCGGTTTAATTTCTGATGAGCTATTGAAATAGAAATCTTATTTTTTTGTTATATATATATATATATATATATATATATATATATATATATATATATATATATATATATATATATATATATATATATATATATATATATGAAAGTGCCCCCTTCCTTTTCAATCAGAGTAGTAAATTCATCCCGGAAATGTACGATATTGAAATTATGAAATGGCTTTCTCTGCAATAAAATGCATTCGATTCTAACGCTAACGCAAACAGCACTTTGAATTTCTGAATGACATGTTGTATTCAACATTTGCATCAACAACAATTAATTTTCCAAAAAGTCTAATTTCAGATTTAAGTCATAGTTAAAGCAAATTTGTATTACACCCATTGCCCCTCTCTCCCCCCAAAACATAAAATTCACGTTACTGTTCTCTGGCTATATTAGTACACCCACCTCCCCCAAAAGATACCCCACAACTGGCTGCTTTCAATAAATTCCCGTACTTTCTTAAATTATATATCCTGGTTTTTTTTTCTCCAGAAAATATATTAAACATATAAATGGATGACTGTTTGGTTATTTATAGACTTTGTTGTGTTAAAAATGTTCGGAAAAGGGATTTTTAAAAGTTTTATAGGAATCGTCCATGCAAAAGATTTTACTGTCGGAAACAACTTCATTGATAGATCATTTTGTAATAAATTATATAGAAAAAGTTGAAAGCCATGTTTGAACTATTTTAGAGGAGTTACTATACTATACGTCCATAGAATACATCTATTCATTATCTTGCTTCAATACATCTATAAGAATATTATCTTGCTTCATATATATATATATGGATTCCCTTAATTAAATTATTTACATTGATTTCTTGATTATAAAAAAATACTTCGCACGAAAATACCAACGTTACATGTAGAAACAAACAACGCCAATAAAACAATTAACAATTGTATTTATGTCAACAAACATTTCATAATTGTACGCGTGACAATCACATAATAGTAAAATACTAAAATGCACCCATAGGTTTATCCTTATGATTTTTTTTTTTAATTTGCGCACATAAGTACTTTAAAATAGCACCGATTACTAATGCTTTATGTCTAAAATAGTGAAGGATTGTTTCACGACAAAAGACATAAAATGGATGTATACTAACAAGCCAGATGTGATAGATTCTCCTTTGAATCATTTCATTAAGTTCCATCCATTTCCGAATGTTCTTCCCTACTTTTAAAAAATCCAACTTCTGAAGAGGATTCCCTAATGGTGATCATATTATCGTCTGCTGCTACGTCCGTGATCATCACGTGGTCCAGATGTTTTGTCATCGCCGGGGAGGGGCACCAATACTCCTTGTCGTCGTCTAATTTTGGCACACACATTTTCACACCGTCTCTTTTGTGATTTTCAACAACATTAACTCCCACCAAGGCGCTCTTTTTCTCCTTCTGTTTGTTTTTGGCGACAACACTTTGTTTAGTACTCATTCCTAAGGCTTTCAGTTTTATTTTTTTCAGTCTGTCCTGCAAGTAACGATCATCTGGAAGCCCTGTAAGAATATTTAGTCGTGGTCTCCGTCGGAATGAATGTATTGATGGGCGACCACGTGGTCGGCCAACTTTTCCGCTTCCTCGGGGACGACCCACTTTTCCAGTACCCCGGCCCCTTCCACGACCCCTCAACCTAGGCTCAGTATGCCCTCTACCACGGCCTCTTCCGCGACCACTTGGTCTACCTCGAATCACAACTCTTAAAGAAGGAGGCCCGCTTCCATCATTTGAAGAAACAGAGGGCCGGTTTAGAGGGGGACGACCCGGACCCCGTCCACTTGGTCTTCGTCGGTATGATCGTCGAATGGGAGTCAACACAGGGGGTGAAGGAGAGTCCGATCGTTTCAGTCCAGGGGTGTCAAAAATATTTCTGGAATCTTCATCCACGTCTTGACTTTTATCAGATCGCTCACTGCCTTTTGCTCTCGACCTTTCGTCGATATTTGAGTCCTTCAATGAAACACTCTTGGAATGTTCGTCTTTATGGGAATGGTATGGCTCCTCCTCTGTTTCAGAACCGGAATTCTCCGTAGTTGACGATTCCTCTTCGTCGTCTGTGGTCGTATCCATGTCAGAAGAGTCGTCATTTTCGTCCTTTGGAGGTTCCTTTAAAACAGTGAGTAAATTTATTTCATTCAAGGCAAATTCAATTCCTTTATATAAGTTGAACTTCTATGAATCAAGTTACAAGCTCAGTTCAATCATTCTCTTTTTTTTCACGACATACTTGATTTATAAACATTCCGTTAAAATAATTCAATACGCAAATAAACAATTTTAATTAAACCTTTTCACTCTAAAGAGAAAATTACAATTACTAACATTTTTCAAATTTCCACTTTTTCCATATAATACGAAAGATGTTTTACATTATGAAAAATACTGATATCGCTTGTAACACCTTCTTTTCATGAAAAAGGGGGAAAATCGATTCAACGCATAGCTATGGCATCGTGTTTTTGTAATTTAATAACTTTTAAAACCACGAGGTATTTTTAATTATATCTTAAATGTAACTGTACCTCAAGAAGAAAACTGAATCAGAAAAAAACATATTTTTTTCTTTAGAAAATTATAATTAATTAACTAAAATGACACGGTGGTCTTACAGTGATAAAAACGAATTTATAGGAAAGATAGACAAAATATGAATGCAGAGGGAAATTAAACAGCTGGGGTTTGGGAGATAATCACTGCAGTCTGAACCATAAATCAATTGGGAATGTAGTGAAGCTAAATTACAGACAGTTTCTTCCCAGATTTAAACAAATGCTAATAAAACACGTGAACACAGAAAAACAGTGAAAATTTCAAATATAATAATAGAAATAGAGAATATATAATTCACAATAGCATATCTACACGTAAACTCTATTATAAAAGAAATATAAAAGAAGTTAAATTATTACCTCGGGTTTTCGTTTCTTGGGCTTTGGTCCCCGTTTTTTCGGCAATGTTTCCTTGTCTAACCTATTTTTTCACAATAAAAGAAATAATAAGTAATTTGAATTACGTGATATAATACTCGTCATCCACAATAAATATATATGTATATCGCACTTTTTTCTACGAAGAAAATAAATGATGACATGCACACAGTTCTGGTGTTTTTAATTTGAATTTATCAATATTACAGAAATCTAATTTTGGTGCATTCGTTGTCGTGAGTTAATCACCTACCCAGAATTGAATGCCTCAGTCAGACGATGATCAAGAATGTTTTCCTCTGGTTCCCATGTGTTAAACCTACAACATTTTATATTACGCAGAATGACAATATTGTCAACAAAAGCTACTGATTTTAGTGGGGAATTACAAAACTCGTAGCTTACTTGTGAGACCAGCCTTTCCACTTCACAAAATATTCAACACGCGCCTACAATGAAAGACAGAGAATTCGATACTGGGCCGAGTGCATAACAAAAGCGATGAAATGCAAGTAGAAACCATGTTATATATCACATACCTTACGAATCCTTTTCTTGAGCAAACGTTCCGCAGCAAATACTCTTTCCCCCATTTCTTTTACATCCATAATAAAGACATGGAAATTAAGCACATTTTCTAATTATTATCTCGACTTTGCAACGCGGATATTGTTGTTTGATATCCCATAATACATCTGTGTGACGTCACAAATCATTAGCATTTTAAACGGGCACTAGGTCAACATGAGAAATATTTTCAGGGGTTGCATAGATATCGCATTGCCGAGTCAAGGAAATGAAATTCATTCATTTTTCCTTTTCACAGGAAATTATAGAGGAATGATACATGCAATAAGAAGATTATTAAAGGCGTCGAAAGTTTTTACCACATATGTTTTATACAAAGATTTAATAATTGAATAAATAAAATGTCTTAGTCAAAAGCATAATTTCTCTTTTCCTTCAAATTTTGATGATTTTAAAGACTATAAAATTGCTAAAATAATTTGGTGAACAGAATTCTTTATTTCTTGGAAATGTTGAATATTTATGTATTTTCTTGTTTAACAAAATTAATGTATTGACTAACTTGGCTATGTTTATATTGGTGAAAAAAATAAAATAAAATAAAATTATTAATAAAAAGATCAAGATATAATAATTTTTAAAGGGGGGGGGGGGGATTTATGATTATTTTTAATTTATAATAATAATTATTTTTTGCATACCTTTTTATTTTATTTTATTTTTTGTTATTGTTGTTGTTCTTTAATCATGTTTCTGACTACAATTACCTGTTAACCCGTCCATAATTCGGTCTGATTTTTTAAAATATTATTTTTCTTTTTTTCTTGGTTAAATATAATTTCGATATTTTACCAGTCAATATTATCTGTCTATTTTCTCTTCTCTGTCATTCAAATTACACACAGGTCATTTTTTATATCTTGCGCTAATTATGATTCACTTAACAGTATATCAAATCTGCATAGTCCACCGAAGGCCCATCATAACTGTTCATCATGAAACAGATCAAAGAGACGGATTAACTCAAATTTTCAAATCTTGTTTCCAAATCCTATATTTTCAATTTTTAGTGCTTACTTGATCCCTAAGCACAAACACAAATTATCTTATTTCTTTTTTTCCCCCTATCCCATTTTTCTTCTTCAAATTTCGTATTTACAGAAAACTACTTCGCTAATATTTCTAAATTATAAAATACAAATTAATTCAAATTTAACCGGCCAAAATACATATATTGCGTGATAAAGTAAAAGTTATATTATTATTTTTAAAAATATTATTAGTATTTTATTTTATTATTGTTTGTTTGTTTGTTTTTTGTTTTTGTTTGTTTGTTTGTTTGTGGTTTTTTTTTTTTTGTTTTGTTTTGTTTTGTTTTTTGTTTTTTTTTGTTTTTTGCTTGTTATTTGTTTTGGGGAATATTTTTTGGTTTTGATTGTTGTTGATTATTGTTTTTTTTTTTTCAATCGATGTTTTTATTTTTTATATAAAAGTTATAATATTCATTGTAAGTAATTTATTTTGGTATTTATGTTGTTTGTTTCTCCAGTCAATTATAAATAAAGGTAAAATAAGTTATCATTATCTTATCTTATATCCTAAAGTCGCCACGTAAAGTAGATGAATTACCATTCGAGTAGACTATGACAACATTCAATTAAGAAACAATATATTATACAGGTAGATCAAAATTAAACAATAATGCTTTCTTTGGTTGTTAGTACGGGAATTAATTTCGCACCTGTTACAGTTAAAAATACATAACCCGCGTAAGACATTTTAAAAAACATTCAAAGTAAAATAAAAATGTTAAATATTGTATTATAGAGGTGTATGTCACTGTATTTACTGCATTATTTACTGCACTGTATTATACTAGGAATTACCTGTAGAAGTGGCATCTTATAAATGTTGTGCGATTTATTACATTTAAGTAATACAAATCAGATACATCAGTGTTATAAGTGTACATGCATTGAGCTTTTTTCATTTGCCACATCGGGCCTCCATACCGGTAACCATGCAGTCAAAAATCATCATTTCTACTGCAAATTCGACATACTTCTTCTCATCCGGGTTGAAAGTTATTACAAGCAACAATTTGTATACATGTATGAGAGAAAATAAGACTTAGTTATGCTTGAATACTACTGCAATCACTGGTTGCTATGTTAAAAATGTAACTTCCGTTTTCAAAAGTGTGTTCGCATTATAAAACGCATCGGCAGAAAATTTAATAAAATTCATAACATGTAAAGATATCAATTATTGTCCATTTTTATACCCACCATGACTTGCGCTTTAAACAGCAAGCATGTTGTTTGAAGAAATCGAGGGTAACTACGGCTGAAAATATAGCGGAATCTCACCATAATAGTGATATACCACTATTATAGCAGAATTTACGTTGCCCCCCAACCTGCTTAGTGTCGTTTACTGACTGATGAACGGCAATGGTTTTCATAAGAAATAAAGAAAATAATATTCAGTGGATGTTAATTTTGACCGATATATATATATATATATATATATATATATATATATATATATATATATATATATATATATATATATATATATATATATATATATATATATATATATATATTATTCTATAATGTCATTTTCATCATAGCCTTAGATTGAAGAATTTGAAAAAGTATTATTGTTAGGAATCAATTTCATTACAATTTATTATTTTTAATTTGGGCCGGGTGTAGAAACTAAGTTTATAGTTGTAAAATACACTATTACTCAATACGCATGTCACTATAATAAATTATTTACTTACTTACAAAAAATATTTTCAAATCAATTCAAATCAAATGTTCGGAAATTAATTCATTTTTTGAGCGTACAAAATGTAAAGGGACTTTGTAGTCTTGGAATATATTTACATTAATCCTCCATTACAAGAAATGACTTGTTTGTAATTTTGAAGTGTTTCATAATTACAATTACCTGTTATAACACGTCCTACAAACTATTTATTTATTATGCTCATTCTCATATTGTTATAACTTATAATACTGTATATATGTTTAATTATTACTATATACTCTGATGTGTCGTATGATACAAAGAAATAAAGAACTTGAATGAGCATTTTTTGATCTTGTATTCAATATTTAAAGACCTCTGGAAAGTCAATTAATGTTTTATCTCCAATTAGAAAATCATCTTTTTATCTATTGAAAATCAAGCTTTTCAATATATATACAGACGGGTCAAACTTTTTAACTAAAGTTTCTTTTAAGAATTTATTCCTATACACTTAATGTACAAAATTTAAATAGCCATACATTTCAGATGGAAAACAATAGATTGAAAATTGTTAATATCTGCCAGTTTTTGTTTATATACAAATCTGAAAAAAAAATGGTTCTGCATACTGTTTTTACAGATTAAGAAACACATCGTACGAGTAATAAGTGTATATACCATATATCTGGGGCTTTTTGTTTGTTTGTTTGTTTGTTTGTTTTTTTTTTTTTTTGGTTTTGTTTTCGCACAGTGCTTTTTTGCGAAATAGAAGTTGATTGGCACTTACCTTGATTACACTGAATTTTAGCGTTTTAATTTTGAAATGAGGCGTTCTCTCTCTATTAAGGAGACGATGTAATATCATTTTAGCCAGTGATTTTTTAAATTCTTTAATCTTTTTTATTTTAATTTTTTTTGCGATTATCAATTAAACCCAGGACCTCCAAATCTCAGAAAACATGAAGATAAAGATGAGTCTAAAATTTTTACAGATGAACAGTTCGAGTGTTTTGAATTGAAAGGAATGCACTTCATTCATTTAAACGCACGTTCTCTATTACCAAAAATAGCCGAGCTGCGTATTATTGCAAGAAAATCCAAGGCCTCAGTTATAGCTATTTCAGAAACATGGATTGATAACTCGGTTACAGACAATGAGATTTCTATCGAAGACTATTATGTTCTTAGGAAGGATCGGAATAGATCAGGAGGAGGTGTTTGTGTTTATATACGATCCAATCTTGCGTTTGCCAGAAGAATTGATATAGATAACGAAAATCTTGAGTCACTATGGTTAGAACTTTATTTGCCAAAAACTAAACCTATTATTGTTGGAGTTTGCTATCGTCCTCCCACCCAAACTTCTTTTATCGACCACTGGGAAGAAGATCTCTGTAAATTACGCACCGACTGTGAAACAATTATACTGGGGGACTTCAATATCTGTACATCCGGAAAAAGCAACCCGTTATACAAATCATATATGAATATTTTAAGTTTATTTAGTTTTTGCCAAATTATTATTGACCCTACAAGAGTTACACGTGACACAGAGTCTATTATTGACCACATTTTATGTAATTCTAAAGAAAATATTGTTAACTCTGGTGTTATTACCACGGGTATTAGTGATCATTTTTTGACATTTTGTACTAGAAAAGTCCCTAGGGGCCATTTTAAAAGTCATAATATTATCAAGATTAGATGCTTGAAGAATTATTCCATCGAATCGCTACAGTTTCTTTTATCAAGTGTAGACTGGAGTGATTGTATAAATTCAACTTGTGTCAATGGAGCTTGGTCTATTTTTAAACAAATATTTACCAATATTTTAGATACTTTAGCTCCTGTTATTGAAATAAGGGTTAAGCAAAGAACAGAGCCATGGATGACATCATATATTTTAGGCCTCATTAGAGATAGGGAAACATTTGTATTTGTATAGAAAACATAAAAGTCATGAAGACAATAAAATTTTTTGTAAATTAAGAAATTTAGTGCAGAGAGAAGTTAGAAAAGCCAGATCTTCTTATTTTCAAGATAAAATTGAGGAAAATATGTCAGAGCCCAAGAAGTTGTGGCAACAGCTTAAGAACATTGGATACAAAACCAAACAAAAAAGTAGCGAAAATATTGTTTTAAACATAGATGGTAAAGTACACCATGAAGGCAAAACTATAGCGGATTATTTTAATTGTTTTTTTACTACTATTGCATTAAAACTTGTAAGCAAATTACCTAGTCCTTTACATGTATTTTCTGTTACATCAAAGGTATTTAGACAGTTTTATGCAGATAAAAACATAGAAAAAAAAACTTTAGTACTTCAACCTGTGTCTGAAGATTTTATTTATAAAGAACTGAAAAATCTGAATGTAAACAAAAGTACTGGTTTAGATAATATACCAGC